TGCATGAATACCCCGGGTGCGCCTTTTAATCCGAATGGGAGAACTCGATACATGTAGTGTCTCAGAGGGCATCTAAAGGCGGTGCGCCATTCGTGTCCAGCTTTTATTCGCATGCGAAAATATGCCTCTCTCAAATCTAGTTTGGTAAAAATCTTTCCCTTTGCCAAATGAGCTAAAAAGTCTTTCATTAATGGCAGAGGGTACTAGTTCTCTGTGCATATTGCATTTAACCCCCTATAGTCCGTGCATAAGCGTAAAGTCCCGTCTTTTTTTTCTCTGAACAATACTGGCGCCGCCAGGGGGAATTTGGCGGGCACTATGAAACCCCGGCTCAAGTTTTTGTCAATGAATTCCCTCAACGCCCCCATTTCCTTTGGGGTCATTGAGTACATCTTTGGGGTTGGGTACTTCACCCCTGGCACCATCTCAATCTCGCAGTCGGTGGGGCAGTGTGGCGGTAGTTGGTCAGACTCCTTTTCGCTAAAGACTTTTGCCAAGTCCCTATATTGCCAGGGGATTTCTTCCCCTCCTCCCGCATGGGGCTTCCTCCCTTGGCGCTGTTCATTCAGGGCTGCTAACCCCAGCTCCCCTCGTTGTTTGGGCTCCCCTTTCACAATCCCATGCCTGCCATCTGGAAAGGTCAGAGTCTTTTCCCGCCAGCTGATGTGGGGGTCCCACAGTTCCAGCCAGGACATTCCCAGAATGAGGGGGTAACTAGCCAGCGGCGTGACCAGGCATTTTAAAGTTTCCCGGTGCGTTCCGACTTTTAACTCAAAAGCCTCGGTATAGTAGCGGACCGCACCTCCCCCCACCACTGTTCCATCCACTTGCCTGAAGATTATGGGAGTTTTCAGCCGGTGAACTTTTAAATTTAATCCAGTGACGATCACGGGGCTGATTAAACTCTGGGAGCAACCTGAATCAAGCAATGCTGTGAGCCGGGCTCGACGAGTCGATCGTGGTGCCCGGATCACTACCTCATATGTCATCGGACTCACCCGGATGTCCTCGATCGATTTGCTCAAGATCGGCTGGTCGTGCCTCGGGCTCTCCTCCCACTCGCCGGCACTCTCCCCTTCGTCCTCGCTGTCGGAGAGGTAGGAAATTTTCAGCCTCTCTTCTTCGCCTCTCGCCGCTGTACTTTTCCATGTTGCTTTTATCGGCTTTGCAGGTTTTTCGGCTTTTTTCCCTTTTCCCTTCTGGGGCAGGCTGCCACGAAGTGCCCCTTCTCGCCACAAATGAAGTAGGCTTTCCCCGTGGCCTGTGACCTTGCCGAGGGGGTTAACTCCTTCATTGCTGGTTTCCTCCCTGTTTGCCATGTGGCGCTAGGGGGCCGCCATCTCGCCTCTGTCCTGTGCGGTTTGACTTTGGCCAGTTGCATCTCCAATACGGAGACATGGGTGATCCATCCCGCCAAGGTCTCCGGGCACCCTCGCACCACGGCCCTCTTGAATAGCCTTTGGTCCAGCCCCTCCTGGAACACCCGCACGAGGAACCCTTCTGGCCAGTCTGGGAGCTTCGCCGCCAATTATTTGAACTCCAGCGCGTATTCGGACACTGGGCGCGCCCCTTGTTTCAGCTCCCTGATTGTCTTCGCTGCGTGCATGCGGGCACATTGGTCTTCAAATCGGTCCCGTAGAGCTGTGATGAATCGGTCAAAGTCCCCCAGTTCTGGGGCCTCCACTTCATTCAAGTCATTCACCCACTCAGCTGCCATGCCTACTAGGAAGCGGGATACATACAGCACCCTCCAGGCATCGCTTGCAAACAGGCGCCCGCATGTGCCCATGCAGATTCTCACCTGGTTCAAGAAGGCAGGCAGTTGGGCAGGGTCTCCGTCGTACTTCTCTACTAGCCCCCATCTTCTCAATAGGTCCCCTTCCTCCTGATGAGGTTGTTGGGCGGCTTGCTATTGGTCTGCTTCCCAGCCGTGTCCTGCGGGGGGGCTGGACCGGATGTGGGGGGGGGGAAAGTTCGGTGGTTCCCATGGAGCGAACGGGGAGGGTTGGGTGAGCTGCGCCGGCCCCTGTCTGGCTTTGGGAGGTTGCACAGGAGGTCACACCATAATCCCCAGCTTGCCCAATTCCTCCCTCAGGGTGCGCACTTCGCCTTCCAGCTTCCTCACTCGTTGCCCCTCATCCCAGGGTGTTGTAACTCCGGTCGCTGTTCCTATGGCTCTCGATCATTGAGGGCGGGCTGCCACCTCTGGGGTGAACCTTCCAGCGTCTTCCCAGATGCTCAGGTCTCTCAGTGGGTCCCAGCGGTGGGCCAGGCGCCTTGTTGGATCCTTCAGTATGGCGCCCGCTAGCGCTTCAGTGAGGGGGATTTGCCATTCCTCTACTTTTGTTGGTGGGGAGCTGGTCCAGCCGCCCTCCACCCCTGCTCCAAGGTTCAGTCTTGCCCTATCTGCCTCCATTTGTAGGATTTCTCTCTCCTCTTCTGCTGGTGCCTCAGGCAAACTTATCTGCAGCTCCTCAGAGGCCATTCTAAGTTGCTGGAAATTCCTCGTAGAGTTTCCTCTCATGTGAAATCCAGTATCAGGGAGTTTTAGCAAAATGTCAAGTACACAGTGTCCAAAACCCAATTCAGAAGCATTCTCACACAACCAGGCTTCGTTCAGAAAAATACTTCTTTATTAAGTGGTACATGTAGCTTGCAAACAAAACATTGCTAAAACTAAAGCCTTGGGTAAACTTCCCTCTATTTATCCCCCCTCCTCTAATTGCCTGGCGTCTCGATTCCTCTTCACCTGGTGTTGACCTCTTTCCTTCCTCCCCCTCCTACCCGAGTTCCTTCCTGGCTCTTTGGGCCCCAGCTGCCTTGCCTGCAATCAGGCCAGCCTAAATTGCCCATATATGGTTAAGCTCCATCCCACCTTCCGTTACTACTCCTATTACAATCTTAAACTGCAACACCCCCCCCATAGTTACAATTCGCAGAAACAAATCAATCCAACTCCCATTGAATGCAATACAATGTAAAATAACAATAGTTGGGTAATGCAGGTTCTGACACATCTCTGGGGAGAGGGTATTCTACTAACTGGGGTCTACAAGACACAAAGTGTGCTCTCCCACCTATATCCCATGTGCTTTGCAAGATGGGACCTTCAGCAGACCACCAGACTCAGCTCTGGCAAGGCACTGATGGAAGCCTACTGGTAACCAGTGTAATGACTGTAATGTACGTGTAAGTCATCCCTTGTGGAGTTTTAGGGCCAGGTGTCTGGCTATGTTTTCTATCTGCTGGCACTTCTGGATCATCTCCAAACTCTGCCTCAGCTAGAGTACATTGCAGTACTCCAGTCAAACAGTGATAAGTGTGATCAGGTAGCTATGGTCTTAACTGGCACAAAAGCCATAGCTGGTCAATTCCACCCCCCACCCTGGGCACAGCTTCTACCTAATGCTTGAGCAGGAGCCAAGAATCCAGGAGGACCCCCAAATCACAGACTATGTATTTTGGGGACAGTATATTAAATATTAAAAGCAATTAAAGACTTCCATGGCATCTCTGGTTTCCACTGGGGTGGCAATCTGTAATTAAGTGCCATCACCATGCAGAAGACTTCTCCCAGAGGTTTAATGTAGATGGTAAGCAACATGGGGAAAACACCAAGCACTTTGGAGTCCCATACTGGAGATCCCTCGGGGTTTGGTGCTTTGCTGCCATGCCCGCCAACTAGATCAGTGCCTCCATTCTGAAACCTTGCAGCCCTCCAGAAGGCCACCAAGGTATGCAATAATGCAGAGAGATCTAACAGGGCCAAGAAGGGCATACACATCCTATCTAGATCCCAACAAAGGTCATTTTTCAAAGGGACCCAGGCCATTTCTGTCCTATGACTGAGCCTGAATCCTGACTGAAGGGGATCTAGATCATCTATTCTTTCTTGGACCATCTGTAGAGGGAGGAGATTTTTTTCCCTCAGCCCTGAGGGATCGCTGGACAAAGTTAAAGAAAAATAAAAACAAAAAAGATCTAGCTGTGGAGCGGAAGCCATGCCAAGAAGAGGAGGCAGCGGGGCTAACAGCTGCTGGGAAAATTGAGGTTTGGGTAGTTGCTCTCCCCTCTCCCCAGTCAGAAAGAAGGAAAAAGCTTGTATTTAAATCTGAAAATAAAAAACCTACCAGGTTTCTTCATAAGCTTAAAAGAAGCAGAGGCAGAAGAGAAGAGCTATAGTAGACCCATTACCTGTTGTTTGTGCAAAAAGACAGAAAACCAGAGAACTCAAAAGGAATTGGAAAGAAAAAGTAATAGAAATCTAAGTTAGAAATAAATAAAGGTCTGTAAAAGAAGCAGAAGTGTATAATTCTTTATGTCAAGGCAAGGTTTGACATTGTGAAATAAAGTTCCCCTTAGTCCAGAGGGGGATAAAATAAAACATAACTGGAGTGCAAGACTTGTTGTGTCTCAGTCTCAGATCAATCCAGTCCTTAGATCCTTGATGTCAAGATTTTAATGGTGGTATAATATCTCTCAATATTCACCTTATTTCTTTTCAGAGACAAATTACAGGATCTGAAATAAACCTTCCACTTTCACTCTTTCACAGATAAAGTCCACAAGGAGCTGGAAGAAGTTTTCAATTCATCTCACTCAATCTGTTACAAAGATTGGAAGAAACTGCCCTACACCAGTGCCGTAATTCATGAGATCATGCGAAACAAATATGCCTTATTGTTTGGGCTTGCGAGACAATGTGTGAAGGATGTCTATCTGAATGGTTTTATCATCCCCAAGGTACAGAATATGGATTCTTCTGGACTGCTGCAGTTTAAGGGCTCCATCCTCATGTAGGAACACTTTGGCTAAGCTCCTACTCTGTTTGTATGTATATGTGTCTTTTAACTTAGGGTGTTGTGTGAATTCAGCCAATTAGGGTTAGCTCAGTAAAACATGGTTAAGCAAAATATACTTAATACTGCGTGTGAACTCAGAAAATGTGCAGCTGAAAACCTGAGTTCTCATTTCACAAATGAATGAAAGCTATGTCACAATCTCAAGTATATGGCTTTCAGACAAAGCAGTGGCTAGAGTCTGCTGACCACGTTAGGTAAAGACCTAGCAGATGAATTGGTACAAAATACTTTAGTGATGATATATAACTATATTAATAATTAGCAAGATGGACAAATTATGTAACAATACATGCTAGAAATGCCACAACAAAGAAGGAACATTGTATCATCTGTGGTAGTTATGTAAAAAAAAAACCCTCAAAAGTACTGGAAAGAAATACATCAAAAATTTAGAAAATCCTGAAAATAAAATTGGAACTGAAACCACAAATATTTCTATTAGATATAATCCCAGAAAGCATAAGTGAAAAATACTGCAATTTACTAGGATATATGCTGACAGCTGCAACAATAAATTTGGCACAACATTGGAAAAGAGGAATCTTGCCAGTAACATCAGGTTGGGAGACCAATGGAAGAATATGCAGCATTGGCAAAACTGACGGGGAAACAATGGAAGGGAAGGGGAGAATGTGTCGCTAGAAAGCCTTCCCATAATGTTTTTATTTAGGCTTGGTAGCTGTTTGCCTTATTCAACGGTTACTATCTGTATGTATGTAGTTTTGTGTTGCCTTCCTATTTCATTATTCTAACAACAGAAATGCCTTTAAAAGAAGAATGAAAAGACCTGGCAGATGGACTTGTACAGTATGATATACTTGCTTAGATATTTTGTGGTGGAGCGTGCTGTGGGAAGCGAGTTCATTGGGTTAGCGTAAGACTGAATGTAACAGGCAGTTCAGCCTAAACTGAGCAAGTCATATGATATACAGTGTGTGGTCTCTGAAAGCATGTAGCTTTTGTTTTCCTCTCCAGCTAGCAAGAATAACCCACCACAAAATGTTGCAAGGGAAGTGTTTGTGCATGTGTATGAGTGTTCTGGAGAGTGGGAATCCTTGCCTCTCTCCCCTTCACTGCCCAAGGGCAGATCCTTCCAGCAAGAGGATCGCCAGAGAAAAAGTTGTTCCAAGCCTCTGGAAGACTTGAATTAATGATGCCTCCAGCTGTGGGCCAAGAGCTGCAGACCAAAGCCAACCGAGCGTAGGTGTAAGAAGGGAGGAGAAGCTTCATCAGCCCACTCACTTCCCTTACAAATCAGGAAGGGCAGGGACCCAAATGGCAAGTGGCAGAAGAGAACTGAGACAGCACCCTGTCTCTGATGGGTAGAGCCCGTCCATCAAAGAGTAATTCTGGCAGCGACAGAGTTTCGCCTGGTAGCCTTTGATGTGCGGGATGCTGCAAGGGTTGGTCCTCTCACCTCTGATTTTTGACGTGTATATGAAAGTGCTGGGAGAGGTCTTCTGATGATTCTGGATTCACTATCATCAGTATGCTGATGATACCCAACCATACATCGCTACCACAGGCTGTGAAGGAGATGCCGTCGACATCTTTTCCCAGTGTCTGGAAGCTGTCAGGGTCTGGATATTAGAAAGCAGACTGAAGATGAACCCTGGCAAGTCAAAGTTGCTGCTGTCACATTGGAGATCTCTGTTGCTACCAGGATTACTCTGTGATGGCCAGGCACTACCCCTCAGGGAGCATGTTCATGACTTAGGGGTCCTTACAGCTCCTGCTGATTGAGCAGGTGGAAACTGTAGCCAGAGGGGCCTATCACAATTCCAGTTGGGGCACCAATTGAGGCCTTACTTGGGCAGGTGGATCTGGCAAGTGTAACTTGCCACCTAGACTACTGTAATGCACTCTACTTGGGGCTGCCTTTAAAGAATATTCAGAAACTGCAGTTGGTCCAAAATGCATCAGCCTGCATACCTTTGGGCTCTGATGTTGGGAGCACAAAACCCCAGTTTTGTGGACCCTGCACTGGTTGCCAATTGGTTTCTGGGTTTTAGTTTAAGGTGCTGGTTTTGATCTATGAAGCTCTTCATAGATTAGCACCTGGATACCTACAGGACTAACTTATCACTGGGAATCAGGTGGTTCATACATCTAGTAAAATAAATTAAAAAATGGATAAGATAGTTATCCAGTCAGTTTCAGCCCAATCAGTTAGACATACTGCTGCAAATTCTACGTTCTGGGAAAGTTCAAGGGGCTGAGTCAAGGAGGTGCTGCTTTTCTGTTGCCGCCTTCCCTGATGTGATGTTCCCATCCTCAACTTTTAACTTTCATTGCCTTTTTCTTTGCTCAGTGTAGTTTAATATTGTTATTTATGATGTTTTTGACTAGGGGTAAGTTCTAGATTTCACCATGGATGTTTTAAATTACCTTTTTATATTATATGTAAGCCACCCAGTGTGGCTGAGTATCTTTGGGATTATGCTGGAAGAGAAAAGTTCAGTGAAATCAATCAGTTTGGCTGCCAGGTGAGGCTCTCTGCTCTCCAAGTCACCAAAGCAAAAGTAGCTGGATGAAAAGGGTTGATTGCTAACATCCTTCAGGATCCTTATCCCTGTGACATATAAAAAGGAGGGCTTGTTCTGTTTTTGGTGGGAAGACACCACTTTCACCTGGCCTCAGCTTGCCTTAATGTAGGCTGGCCCTGAGATGGAGGCTCTGTTGTGAGGACATGTCCTCTGAAACAATGAGCAGTGTGTCTTGCAACTGGGAGAGGGAGATCTGTGGAGGAGGCCTTAGTTGTGCTGGTAACATTATGTACGGGCCAGTCCTGGTGGCTGCAGAAGGATTGGCTTCAGCAGGAAGCTGTTGCGAGTAGGGAACTGTATTGTACCATGGGAGACTGGCTCTGAGGCAACTTGGAAAAGCGAGACAAGCTTACTCTTCTCGCAATGAAAGGATATAGCCAAGATTTCTTCCTAAGAATGGTCTTGGGCATGCACTATTACGTTTGTTTGTAAATGATGTGGATTAAATGGTAAGCAGTGAGATTATATAGCTTATAGACAGCATATGGGGCAGTTAAAGAAAAAGTGGACAAAAAGCCCGGCCCCATAACTCTTTGGGGACACTAACTATCTCAGTGGAGGATCAACCCAGCCTGTTGTTCCCGCCAATCTCCATCTCAGCTTCTTTGTTTGTTAAATGTCTTAAATCTGCTAGTGCCTTCTAAATTAAATGCATGTAGAGTTTTAAATACATTTGAATCCTAAGAGAAATGGAATAGCTGGGAAATGCAAGGCATGCTTGTCTTGATGTTTAAGTCAGTTTATTTCTTCCTTACAGGGAGCTGTTATTCTTCCAGACTTACGTTCTGTTCTTTCGGATCCTGAACATTGGGAGATGCCTGAAGAGTTCAACCCAAATAATTTTTTGGACAAGGAAGGGAATTTTGTGCTAAAAGAAGCATTTCTTCCCTTTGGAGCCGGTAATGTGTAGAAAAGCAGTTATGACTGGCAAATGATACTTATTTTAGGAGGGGGGAGAAAAAGGCAAAGAAATATTTGCTCCATGACATCTGGGGATTTGACTAATGTAAAATGAAGGACTCTCTTTCCATAACATGCTTAACTGGATCAATGGAGGGAAAGATTAAGATTCATTGGAACTCTAGAAAGAGTTAATTGATACAGAGAAGTAAACCTCATGGTCTTAAATTTACTCTAAACAGATTCAGTAATCTAGTCGGTTAAACTAACTCCAGGCAGTCTCCTCTTGTGGGAACTACCGTTCACGAGGTTACCTAACCCATATTTCTCCTGACATCCAGACAGACTTCCTAGAGAGGCCCCATAGAAATGGGTCCTTTGTGGGCACTCTCTCTCTATGGCTTTTGGTTTCTCCCCCCCCCCCCCCCCCGCCACATAGTGGGCTTCAAGAATGACCAGAAACAGGTGGGAAGTGAGTAGGACACCCTTGAATCTTTTCACAATGGCCAAGGTTTTGTTTTTTCCTCTGGGTATTCCTTAAAGGATAGTTTGCTCCAAGTAGAGAAAATAAGGGAAGCAAAAGGAAGTTCATCAGGAAATGGGTGTCCCCTAGGTACCTTCACTGCAGCTGGAAAGGTGTAAAACTGGCCATTGCCATGCAGACCCAGCCACCCCATATCAGGTGCTGCTGGTGTGTGATGATGACAGCAGTGACTCAGAGTTGCTGGGTTGCATCATAGGAAAAGCACCGAGAAAAAGTCAGTGGAGCCTCAGGTAAAATATGGAATCCCTCCACAGGTCTGTCCCTGAATCTGTATCCTGAGCCGAAGGGCAGAATGGCAGCCCCCTGAGGATGGCAAAGGGATCTGCCAAAGAATCCCCACCACTGCATTTTAGGGGAATTCATGCATCCCTCTGCCCTTTCTGGCCATCTTAAAATTTCCTGTCCAAGTAACAGCTTCTTTTCATTGTTAGAGAATGTTGGAGTGACAATATAACACTACTATGATATGACCTAGGAATATTTTGGAGCTCTAGCAATGAGCATGAAACTGAGCAAACTCAGGGAGGCAGTGAAGGACAGGAAGGCCTGGCGCAATATGGTTCATGGGGTCACGAAGAGTCGGACACGACTTAACGACTAAACAACAACAACAGAAGTCAACAGAGAAGGAGGGAAGAAACAAGGGAAGGAAGAGAGGAAAAAGGCAAAGGCGGATGGGTGAAAAACATCCCATTATCCTCCATGGTGGAAATGGGACTTGAAAAAAAAAATTAATAGGAATGAATTGTCACAACAGATGATCCAGTTCTGCAAGACACAAAATAAAGGAAAAAGACCAATACTTTTGTAGCATTAACTTAATATGATTAACTTGGTTAGTGAAATAACTCATTTTCTAGATTCACTGGATCTTTTAAAACATGAATTACCCAATTGGCTGAGCTCACACAGTGAGATAAAACACAGAAACACAGACCACATTGAACACTAACCAAGTTCAGCATTTTAGCATTTAAGGTACACTTAGGATGCTTCTCTTGAAGGAGGAGGACTTCACCCATCAGCTCAAATTCCCTTCACATGATCGTTGCAAAGTGGGGAAATGCTTAACGAATAGGCAAAATGGATTATTACTGATTTCTTGTTTTTCCTTCATTTTTTGTGTAGGAACTCGTTCCTGCTTGGGGGAACTCCTTGCAAAGACTGAGTTCTTCATCGTCTTTACCAGCCTGCTGAGGGAATTTAGGTTGGAGCTACCAGAAGGAGTGGAAAAGCTCAGTCAAGAATCCATAATAGGGTTGACTCTGCATCCCCCTCCTTACAAGATTTGTGCTCTTCCTCGTACCAGGACACCATAATATGAACCAATAACAAGAGCGGCTTCCCATGTTATGATGTCTGTCTGGTTCAACACTTAGTAGATCCATCACCTTCAAGATTGTCTCTTCTTATCTTGCTGAATGACTCCTCCCAGCATCTCTCAGCATCAGTCAGCTTCCTATGCGTCCCAGGCAGTGCAAAGATAGCTGTCACACGCTGCCTGCTGGTAGCGGCTACTACTACATACCTGACCAAGAGGGGAAGGGGCTATGATGTAATGCAGCCTTGCCATTACCGTCCTGTTGCAAGGGCTCATGGGATATTAGGCCCTTCCTGGGGAAAGCAAGTGGCGACTTTGAACTCTCAAAATGGGAGTTTATTTTCCTTAGATATCAGAGCATTTACAGTACAGAACTTTATTTGTTGCAACACAGGTTACTATCGCTCTCTGTTTCAATCAACATTTGTAGATTGTTCACCTTCAAGGTTCAGTGTTGAGATCTTGGAGTTGCAGTTAATATACAGTAGGTGCAAGGAGTGAGTTTGCAATCCATTCATTTGATTAGCGATAATCATGGTTAGTTTTTCAAGTGGGTCAGTGTGTTTCTGTAAACCTGTTAGTTAGATGGTTCAGTACATTATAGATTGTCCACAATCAGAAAATGGGTTGAACACAGCTGCATTCACATAGCATACAGTATTAACCTGGCTGAAATTACCCATTTTCTTGGTTTGCATAATGCAGTGGATCATAAGCTGGTGAAACTGCTGAGCTCACACAACGTACTAAGTCTCAAAGAAATCCTAATGAAATTTAAGGGTAACCAGGTTTAGTGTCTTGTGTGCATGCCGGTCTTAACTGCTAGCAAGGTTGCTGCTGTGGGGTTCGAATGAAGGGAGATTCTCCCTGAAAGGCCTTTAGCGTGTCAGAGGATGGTGTTAGTTAGGCTTACTCTAAATAGGAGAATCTTAAGTAAGTTTTGGAAAATGTAACAATAAGTTGGGGGAGCCTTGAATCTTAGAGATCAGTAGTGAAAACTTACTTTTGGTGATGACCTGATTTCACCACGGAAATCATGACCCAATTATATTTGCATATTCTTTGGCATAAGAATTTCCTGGTAAGGCACCACATTTGACTCAAGGTTTGCAATTGCAGAATAAATCCTGGTTATTTTCCTACTCTTGTCTAGTCAACAGGGACAGCTGCTGGGCAACGCAAATATCTGGAAATTATTCTTTCTGTGACAAGGGTGATGTGGGATACAGATTTAAGGAAGACAAATAAATCTCTTTACTGCCCCTACAATGAGGTTGCCAACTGCCTGCCAGCTGAGGCAGCTTTATGGGCTTGCTTTCCTCGAAACGGGCTGACCGAAGGGGAAAATTGGACTCTCGGGTTTCTGCTATTCCTCTTTCAATGGGCAGTGTGAATATCACCTTCTTTCTTTGGGTTCCTTTGTGAGGGGAAGGAAAAGCTTTAATAAAGGGAATTAATGCTGCAGAACCGTGTCGGTGCCTCCCTGGGAAACGCAACGGTGCCGGTCCTGATCCTGGGTCTCTGGCCAAAGGCCACGGTGGGAGCGATGCCAGAGCCATGAAAACCTCCCTCTTGCTGGATTTCTGTCAGAAGGGAAGCAAGATGGCCTCCCTCTAGTGCACCAGAGGCCGGGGGAGATCAGGGCCCATGGCTTCTTCCCCCAGGAAAGGGGGCCCGGCTGCACAAGGGAGGCCTTTCCCGCCAGAGGGCTTCTCTCCTCCGCCATCTTGCTCGCGCTGCCTCTCGGAGGGGCTGAGGAAGCGGGAGCCGCTCCTCAGCCAGAGACATCGCTGAGGGGAAAATGGGAAGAAAAAGGACCTCTGGGGAATGGCGGGGGACACGCAGCGTCCCTGCTCTCTGGGAGCCTCGCTTGCTGCCCAAGCGGCCCCGAAGGAGGGAAAGGCCACGGCTGACCTCTTGGCCTGCTCTGTCCCTCACAAAGGGAGAGGAAAAAAGGATGAGGGAAACCTTTATTACCTTTATTTATTACACCTGGCCATCCAGGTGACCCCAAAGGGAGGAAAGGCTCGTCATTCCAGAGCAATCGGCTTGGCCCAGCATGCAAAGCCCGTCACAGACCGAGAGTAGAGGCTGGAGTAAACCTTTATTTGCGCAAATAAAGGGTGCAAGAAAAAGCAATCCAGAGCCAGCACCCCCCCCCCCTTAGGGCGAGTTCCGTTTACACGGTTCTTGCAAAGCCCATCCCTTCTTGGGGTGGGCTCTTACAGAGACACGAAACTTGAAGAAAAACAAAGGCGTTAATCACAGCCAAGCGTGACGTTGTACTGCTGTGCTACTCTCATCGTACAATTTGAATGCAAAGAGCTTCTAATTAGCCTGATTTCAGCCTATATCTTGCCTGCGCATCCTCGGCCTCCAGTTACCTGGCTCAACAACAGGCAGAATCGATCCGTGAGCAAACGTGGGGTCTCTCCCCCTCAGGTTCCAGCCGCACAGGGAATCGTGGCAGTTTCCTCCCGTCTCATTCCCACGTATTCTCTGCTCTGTCACCCCTTCCTCACTGCAAGTTACAAGGGCCTCTCCTTCCCTCTCTCTCGCCCCGATTAGCTTAACCGAGCAAGCTGAATCAAACCTTGGCTGCATCATGGCTGCAGTCAAGCTACGTAGCCACCTCATCAGGCCGAGCTCCCAGCCTGCCCGCTCTCTCACAAAAGGAGAGGAAGGAAAGGAGAAGGGGGGGAAAACACTGGGACATAAAATAATTGTTAGGGGGAAAAGTAAAGTGCGTCCTGGGAAACCAGGTCCAATCCCAGCTTGATCGTGGAGCTCTCTGGGAGACTTGAGTCAGTGAGGGTTTGCGTTCCCCCAAACTATCCACTTCCAAAGTGCAGCATCTGAAAAGTGGGCCGGAAAGTTTTGGGCGCTGAAGTGAATGGGTGCAGCTGCTCGGTGCCTGATGGAGGAAAGTGGGAAAAGTCCTTCCCATCTTCCTGTGATTTTCTTTGCAGAGTCCTGAGTGTGACCTGGAGGGCAGCTGGCAAGGATGGTCCTTCTTGGTCAGCTGCTGAGGGCATTCATTCTCCAGCTGCCAAAAAGAGTGAAAAAGATCAGTGAAACGGCTGCAGAGTGGTGACGCTACAGCTGCACCCAGAAGCTAAATTAAAAAAAGAAAATAAGGCTACATTCACGCAAATGCCTCTGAAGGACTCTATGCCTCTGTACAGGGAGGAGATCAGTAATAAAATCAGTTGAATGTATTCCTAAGGTCGCAAAGAAGAGCACTGAGGCTGGGGCAGGCTGGCCATTCTCCCAGGAACATAGCCCAGAACGAAGAAACAGGAATCACATCTTTGACTGGTGTTCTCTGGAAATTCAAGTTCCAACCAGAAACCCTGGAACTCTCCACGTAACGTCAAAAGATATCATGTGTATCCAGCAAAGTGGGCTTTTTAAAATTAATCTGCAGCTGATACAGTTGAAATATTTCTGTAAGAATTTATTCAATGTGTTTGTTATTCTGCCTAATGTACCAAGGAAGGAGACAAAATTGTTGAAGAAGATGGATTACAGCTAATGAATGGAAATGCCATAAATCAATTTGCCCCAGAAGGATACAAATACAGTGGTACCTCTACTTACGAACTTAATCCATTCCGTGACTCTGATCGCAAGTCGAGTTGGTTGCAAGTCGAAGTAAATTTTCCCATAAGGTTCAACGTAATTACTGTTAATCTGTTCCGGCGTCTGCGGACCACGTGTCAGGGGCGGAAAAACGGCCGCGGACCACGTGGAACAGGCAGAAAATGGCCGCGGACCACGTGGAACGGGTGGAAAAATGGCCGCGGACCACGTGGCATGGGCGGAAAAATGGCCGTGGACCACGTGGAATGGGCTGAAAATGGCCGCGGACCACGTCGCACGGGTGGAAAAATGGCTCGTAAGTCAAGACAAATTCATAAGTAGAGGTAAATTTTTGGGGCCGGAGCTGATCCTATCTCGAAATTTTCATAAGTAGGGGCGTTCATAAGTAGAGGTACCACTGTACTTAGGGTAAAAAGAAGTCTCTGCCTTATTTACATGAGCACGTCAAAAAGAATATTACTTCTAATTATATAAAATTCAAATATGAATTAGACATATTTGATATGAAAACCAGAAAATTAATGAGTATGAATCATGGTTTATGTAGTTTAGCATCCGTCCACTTGGTTCCTGTTCAATGCATTGTGCAACTTCCTCAGTTAATTCAGGTACTGTAAGTGGATTATGTGAATGAATCGAGGGAGCTGAAAGTTGAAAGGGGTCACTGAAGCCACCAACTCCAACTCCTGCTCCTTCCAATCCAAATTGAAGTAGGATTAACATCTCATGGTTTCTAGCTTCCAAATGAACCTATCCAAGGTGTTCACAGAGAACACAATCAGGAAGATGTCCAAAGGTGGAGGAGGGGGGAACTCTCAGCACTGTAAACGTAGGTGCTGTTAGAGGCACCCATTGGAGGGGTCAAAAGAGTCAAATGGGAGCACAAAAGGCTTCTTGGTTACTGAACTAACCATTGTTCTGGGTTCAAACAATATCTGACCTTGACGCTATCCAAATACTGTAGGCCACTCCTACATCACCACATGCCACACAAAATCGAACCAAGTTCAGCATCTGGCTTAGAATGTTAGATCTTTCACTGGCTTGGGAAAGGGTGTTGTGTGAATCCAGACCAAGGGTAGCAAGTCTTTCATGCAGGAAATATCTAGTCTGCAAACCACACTTTCTTCATTCCAGTCCTTTCTGCAGTACCTCGTGGCAGGAAATTCCACAAGTGAATTTTCTATTGCATACAATTGTATTGTTCTTCCTTTTCTTTACAGCTCATAAAGCAATAATTCATCCATTAGCTTGCCTGATCCACAGCTCCATTTCCACGTTCTTCAGCATCTCCGTTAACTGCAGAGAGAATGCAATCCAGTCACAGTCTTTGATGCTTGAGGGACGTCCAAATTTGATTTTTACAAGAAAAAATGTTCAGAAACTGCAACTGCAAACAAAATGCAGCAGCTGCAGAAGTATAATGCCAAAACTGAGCTGAAGGACCTCTGTTGAGACTGGCGTCTTCTCATTGGATTGGCCCTCCCCAGCTCTTTGGTCTTTAAGGCAGCACCCAAGTGCCCCCAGGTGCCTTTGGGAAACCAAAAATGAGGAAGCCATGGAAAGGGTGGTGTTGAAGGAGTTCTGCTTTGCACTTCTTCCAAGATTCTGCTCTGGTTTCTTGGTGGGCTTATACTTCTGAACTTTAATTAGCCATTAGCCAAGGTTTTGTTGGAGAAGACTCCTGAGAATGCCACGGGTGGCCAAGAAAACAAACCAATGGATCATCAGACAAGTCAATCCACAGTTCTCACTGAGGCACAAATGACCAGGCTCAAATTATCCTACTCTGGGCACATTACACGAAGACCCAGCCCTCTGGAGAAGGCTCTGATGCCGGGAAAGGTGGAGGGAAAGAGAAGAAGACGATGATCAGCAGCAAGGTGGAAGGACTCAGTTACAGCAGTGATGGGGGCATCATTGGAAGACCCAAAGGGTCCTGGAGAAAAATCTATCTATGGGGTTGTTAAGACTTGAGACCAATTTAATGCCACATAATTGATACATCAGCCTGGATCTGGACATCATTGCAAAACTTGGTTGGACCAATTAAACCCCAAACAGGCCATGATCATGTTTTGACATTTTCACATGATATGCTTAACCTGCTTCCTGAATTAGCTTTTTTTGAACTCACAAAAGACTGGACCATAAAGTAATCAAAAGGGCAACACACAAGGCAAGCTTAGCACATTGTGAAACTTGGTTAATGCATGGATGTCTGAATGTATCCAACTTGCTCGAAGACCTTAGCAGCTGCATCCTGTACAATCAGCTGTTAGATTTTTGTGATTCAGTGTTTTGTGCAAACCCAGACTATTTGGTTAGCTGGTAAAGCCAGAAAATGGGTTAATTTAACGAGCAGATTCACCATATTGTGTGAATGCAGTGTTTGCAGTTTGCAGAAGATGACCAAAAGATGTCATTCTTACAGAGCAATACCCTGAGGATGCTGATTGGTTGGTGAACAGCCAATGGCAGGTCTAATGTACCTTCTATACTAAGGTAGAGGCACCAGCTTCTTGTCGCTGTCACCCAAGTGCAAGTAACCAAGTGTAAGACTATCATGGCTGATCTGGTCATGGGAAAAGGATTACAAGGGTTAGCCATTGTTGCAGTTGCAGTGGCTCAAGAAAGAAGCCTCTTAAATTTGGTGGAATGGAACACGAGAACCACATCGGAATTGATCATGGAAGAAGCATCAGGGGAGAACGAGTAAAATTGGGTTTTCCCGGCAGTTTGGGGGACTCTGTCAATAACTAACGAAGAAAAGGTTTTCCTGTGATGTAAAAAAAGTTAGGACAAAGCAGAAGTGAAAAGGGTAACTTCCATATTGCAGACTGCTTGGAAAGGAC